CACACACACACACACACACACAGTCACACACACAGAGTCTCTCACACACACACACACAGTCACACAGTCACACACAGTCACACAGTCACACACAGTCACACACACAGTCACACACACACAGTCACACAGTCACACACACACAGACACACACAGTCACACGCACAGACACACATACCACACACAGTGACACACACACAGTGACACACACAGTCACACACAGACACACACACCACACAGACACACATACCACACAGTCACACCACAGTCACACACACACACCACACACACCATACACACAGTCACACACATTCATAATCACACCACACACACAATCACAGACACCACGCACACACAACTACACACCACGCACAATCACACTACACACACGATCACACACACAGCACACCCAACCACACAATCACACACACCACACACAGTCACACACAATCACACCACACACACAATCACATACACAATCACACACACATACAACCACACACATACAGTTACACCACACACACATAATCAGTCACATAATCACACCACACAATCACACACCACACATACAATCACACACACCCAATCACACACATACACACACACCAGGCTTCTCTTCGCACCCCTAGCCCTGTGGTTTTAAAATCGTGTTGAGGAAATGGATCAGTTTGGTTTAGTGGGGGAGCCTCTCCTGGTCCTGTTTTTCATTCTTGAGTGCCAGTGGGCTCCTGCTGGTGACTGGCTGACTAAAAAGCAAGGCAGAAAAACAAACAAAACCAAAACAAACATGGTAATTCGTCTGATTCAAAGTCACTGGTAAAATCCAAAATAAAAGTAAGAAGAGCAGGAGCACGCATCTTACTAATTTGATCCCTTCCCTTTGCCTGAGAAACTCAGTTTCGTGTCACCTGTTCCAGGACGTGTACAGTGATCATGTAGACGAAACTGCTGAAGGTGTACTTTTGGACCAACTTCTAAGTCACACAGCAAACGTATAGGGGGATTTATTAGGAAATGGCCATTTTATCCCATTTCTAAAGGCAAAAGTCCTTCCTTGATCTGTAATGAATTTCTCAAGGGCGATTCCTCCAGTTTTCTCACATAGAAAGTTTCTCTAGGCTGGTGCTGAGATGCATTTTTTTTAAAAAAAACTACACACTTGCTGCTTTGTATTAAATATGTAGTTGCATGTTACTAAATTGTGGGGGGAAAGTACAACTCGTAGCAATAACCTATAAGATTTTTTTCTTTATATGTTTGTTAATCTGGATTAAATAGAATCCAGTTTTATGACCATTAAGCCAAGTGTAATCCCATTTAGATTGTCCTAAGAGCAAATGAAAAAGGTAACTTCTTTTGCCTGACGGCGAGAACCTCTGCCTTGGGGTGGTGTGTGTGTGTATGTGAGTGGCTGGAGAATGAACGGAATGAATTAAGTGTCAAGTATTTATGTCTTGTATGTAGAAGGGACTATGCCTCTTCTTGCCAACTCAATTTTAGTACATCTTTTATATACAGTATTTACTATGTGGTCCTCTCTACCAAGAGCCCAGAATTGAAAGACCCCGGGAGACTGAATTACACTGTCCCAGGGCGTTTTGGCAGGGCAGTTCAGCCAAGGTTAACTTCTCTTTGAAGGCCTAGCGAATAATATTTAGGATTGATCACTGTGTATAGGCTGAGTTAAGTTACAATTTGTGGTTGAGTTTCCTTTTTTAAAAAACTTGTATATTTATGTAGTTACGTGACATTTTGTTTTTCTTAATGATGCTCAGTCTATTTGTGTGTACTTGTCCTACCTTTATATGAAATTAAGGATTATGTATGCTTATATTAATCTTATATCCCCTGCATTTCCTAGCAGAGTGGCTTGCTTGTAGCAATAGCAGGTGCTCATCAAAGACTGGTTGGATGAATGATTGTTAGTAGATGAGAACTTGTAATAGATGAGATGAAGTTTTGATAATTCTTCATTGGGTGTTATAACTAAATATTTTGGATTTGGTAAACCAAAAATTGGTCTAATTGGATGCTTTACTTTTTGAAACACATTATTTCTCAAGATTATGGTAAAAGGAATGATACATTTTGTGTTCTAACTTTTAGAATATGTCCACTCTCCTAGAATGACGGTGAGTTGTTTAGATTAAGCACTAGTTTCATTTGTTGTTGTTTTGGTGCTTTTTTGTCTGTACTTCCAGACAATAAAGACTGGAAAGAAGGCTGCTCGGTAAATGTGTATATGCTTTGGAAGTAAAAACATTCTAGGGCTGGTTTAAGATATTCCAAAAGCACATAAATATGATTGGTGGATTTGAATCCTGCTGTACTTGGAAGGCTAAAAGAGGAATATACTTTATTGGTACTTTAGATTAATTTTTGTAGATAAGAACATTGGCTTAAGTACTACTATATTAAATTTGTAGTAGAGAGAGAGAAAGAGAGAGAAACTCATGGATAACAATGTGGTGATTGATTGGGGAAAGGTGGGAGGTGGAGGTGGAAGAGGGCATAGAGGAGATAAATGGCAATGGAAAAAATAAAATAAATTTAAAATGGTGATGGAAAAAATAAAATAAAATAAATTAAAAGATCCATTCATCTATTGAGTACTTCGTAGGTAGTGTAACTGTTGATGGTGCAAAGACATTGGTTGGTGTTACAAGCTTAATTTTCTAAAATCATAGATTTAAAAAGGCGTATTCACTGGGGATTAAGTGTTTTTCTTTTATGGAGAAAAATTTAAATGGGTATGTAAGGTACTCACATGACATGTTACTTATAGGGATGACAACTTGTTAATAATACAAAATTGAAATAATCTAATTTTGCCTAAGCTAGAGGTCTTTGGCTGAATAAGGCTCTTTTTTTTTTTTTTTAAATCCTCACCCAAGGATATTTTTTCCATTGATTTTTCAGAGAGAGTGGAAAGGAAGGAGGAAGGGGGAGAGAGAGAGAGAGAGAGAGAGAGAGAGCAGAACATAGGTGTGAGAGAGACACATTGACTGACTGCCTCCTGCTCGATCCCCAACCAGGCCGGGGATTGGACCTGCAACCAAGGAATGTCCCCTTGACCAGAATCGAACCTGTGACCCTTTGGTCTGCGGGACGATGCTCTAACCACTGAGCCAAACTGGCCAGGGAGGCTGAATAAAGGTTGTGAATTTCAGCCTATGGGTTTTATGGCATACTTTGCCAATACCTGGAGAAGGATTGTGTAGAAAATCTATTTTGAATAGGCATTTGGTAAAGTTGTGACAGTACCTTGAAATCAAGCATTTGCTAATTTAAAAAAATTATAGCTGAAATAGAATACTTCTTGCATTTAACTTTGTGTGGGACTTTTGAGAATACTTGACTGGAATTTTGAAATTTGAAACCTCTGATGATGACTACAGAAAGCAAAAGCTCTGGTGTTGTCCAGGGCTTTAAGAAGTCTGTTTTCCTGTGAAATATGTGAGGATGGGATAGAGTATTGATGCTAAAGATTTCAGAAACCTGATTATACCAAGAGATCCATCCCTATAGGAGGCCAATCTTGGAGTCAAATCCATTTAAAAACCAGTACTATGTGTTAGACACTGGGAGTAAGATGCAGCCCTTTTTCTCTTGGGAGTTTACATGCTAGAGGTTGTGCTAGACATAAAAGGGCTGTGAAGGGGGGAGGGAAGGCTCAACAGGAGATTATTGTCCCTTCTGCAGGTGAAAAGGACCACTTGGTCCCTGGTGATTCTGGGAAAAAGGCTCACTCTTCTGCGGTCACTCTCAGCCTAAGAGTAATAAAAGTTGCTACCTGAGGCAGGGGAGGGGTGCTTGGTTGCTAAGGGGCACATGCATGACACAGCTACCAATTATGACATGGTTGCCAATTATGACACGGTTGCCACTTGCCTGGTCCCTCGCTATGTCCCACTCACCTGTGTTGCTGGCTGTGCCCCACTCGCCTTGTCCCTTGCTGTGCCCTGCTCACCTGTGTTGCTGGCTGTGACCCACTCGCCTGGGTCCCTCGCTATGCTCTGGACCTCTGCCTATCATGTCCGGGCTGCACCTGTGGGCCCCTCGGCCCCTGTTCATGTGGCGGCTGTTGCTGCTGGTCCAGGCAACTCTGACTTCAGAGTTGGCCCTGGACCTTGTCCTGCTGACCTCCGTCCCCCCAGGCCCGACCAAGCCCTGGCCTTCAGATCAACAAAACCTCCCACCTGAGCCTTCGAATATCTTCGGAGAGGTTGAATTTCTGTCACTCCAAGAAGACTCAGCTCTGCCTACAGAGGCCCCTGAAGAGGTGAAACCTTCTCCAACACTTCAGGAGGCCACAGCTCAGGAAGTAGAAGCCCCTTCAATCCAGGAGGGGGCTTCAGCTCAGCTTCCACCCCAACAAGAGGCCTCAGCTCAGTCTACAGTGTCCTCAGAGCCATTGAAACCTTTGTCAGTCCAGCAAGGAATTCCATATCAGTATCCACCCCCCCCTGAAAATGCTGAATCTTCAATACAGCAGAAGAGGTCACGTTCAGTACATCATGAGGTGATAGTCTCAGCTCTAGGTTCAGGTGAAGCTCAGCATCCAATGTTGCCTAATATTAATGTTAAAGATGTGAATCTGGGGGTTTTGGTAACTCCAGAACCCATTAAGGAGATTGAACCATCTGTAACTGAGCAGGAGGTCTCAGATCATCCTTCAAAGTCCACAGGAGAGTTCAAACCTCCAACCCAGCATGAGGTCCCTCCAAAGCCCCCTGAGAAGACAGAATCATCTCCATCGCAGAAGGAGACCCCAGCTCAGCCTACTTTGGAGGCTGATGCTACAGCCCTGCAGCAGACTACAGCTCCTCCAAAGCACCCTGAGGTGACACTTCCACATCCAGAACCTGTTCAGGCTCAGCAGCCAACCTTGACTGAAGTCACGGTTCAACCTTTGGACCTGGAAGTTACACTGACTCAACAACCAGAGTCATCTGAGGCAGTTCCTCCAAAGACTGAACAGGGTGCCACCATGAACACATGTGAGCTCTGTACCTGCAACAGTGGGATGCTGTCGTGTATTGGTCTCCGCCCGAAGCAGAGGCTCCACAGAGTGCCTGTGCCAGAGCCCAACACCTACAATGGCAACTTCACCATCTTGTAAGAATTGCCTTTCATTTGTTCTCACGTCCTGCCTGACAGGGCAGCCGTTTCCTTGAGGTCTTCCTGGGCTTCCTCATGTTTCCCAACCCACGTTGACTGACTTTCTGTTTTTATCTTTTGTCAGCTACTTCTTATCTTCATTCTTCTTACTGTTGCTCCCTTTTTACTTGCCCATATTTTTTCCTTACCCCTTTCTTTTAGCCCCATGGTTTCATTCCGTAACCTCTACTCTCCTCCCACTTTTGCTCTGTCCTCTTTACAGCAACATGGCCCTCTCCCCATCTCACTGGTGGTGCTACAACAAAGTGGTTAAGAGAGTCTAGAGCCAGAGTGACTGGGTTTGAGCCCAGGTATGCCATTTATTAGCGTTGGGACTCAGTTTCCTCATCTGCAAAGTGAAGATCATGATAGTTAGCATCTCAGAGGATTGTTGTGAGAGTTAGATGAGTTAATATACGTAAAGCACTTATATCAGCGCCTAACATTTGTATGTGTTAGCTATTATTATTATTTGATCCCTCTTTTATATCCAGAACTCATCTTTGTCCCCTGGCTTTCTCTATATATCACCCAACCCAGGGCTACGTACTGTGGGAGCCATAGAAGTATGACATTGTCTATAGAACATGACAATGACAGGTGGGAAGAAAAGGAATATACATAAAAAGGGTGGGGTGATATATAATTAAGTACTAAAAGAGATACAGACCAGAGGTGCTGTAATTCAGCAGAATCTGTAGTCACTGGGGTGGAGAAGTCAGGGAAAGCTGCATGGATAAGCTAGAATGTTAGCTGGGACTTAAAGGGTGGCTATGGTTTGTTAAATAGAGAAAAATAGTAAAGTCTAGGCAGAGGCATGGCTGCAGGAATGGTCAGGACTTAATAGACCAGTCTGGCTATAAAGAATTGGTTTGGGAAGCAGTGGAAAATATGGTTATGAAAAACCTTGGCTATCAGCTCTAGGGATTTGGAAGTTACACTGAGACAGGGAGAGCCACTGAAAGTTTTCAAGCGAGAGAGACATATGATTAAAATAAGAGGATTATTTTAGGTCTCGTATGTAAAGGGATCTAGAGAGGAAACCTTGACTCAGGGAGACCAACTACAATGCTCTAGCAAAATGTAGGAGTCAAGTGAGAAGGCCCTGAATCAGAGTGGTTGTGAGTACAGTCTAGGAGTAGAAAGAAAATCCTGGGAACACTATAAAGGAAGAACTGACAAGATTTAGTAACTGATGGGAGTGGGGAATGGGTGTACTGGAAAGAGAAAAATCACTTAGGACCCTGGAAAATTTCTGTCCTGGATGATGAGGAGAATGATGGTGGTATGATAGATGGACATACAGTATTCGGGAAGGACAGCCAGTTTGAGGGAGATGAGTTCAGTTTGGGCATTTTTTATTGGTGAGCGTAAAGCAACCAGAGGCTTCTGGTTGAGTGGAACGAACTGTCCACTAGGCAGAGAGGCAGACGGGTGTCTGCTTGACTTTTTCTGGCCTTCCTGAAAAACGTGTATGCAAACTGAGTAGGTACGTTGTTGCTGAGGAAAGAGGGCAAAGCTAAAGGTAAAGATTCTAGTCATCCAAAGAGTTAGTGGTTGAAACTGAACCTCTGGAATTGAACAGCTTCTTTTAAACACTTGTAATTCATGGATGCATTCTCACTTTTTTAAAAATGTGACAGAAGTAGATAGGATAAAGTGTGAAAATCCCACCCAGTCCTTCTACCACTCCTGTTACCATATTGGTGCTCATCTATCCTTCCAACCTCTTTCTTTTTCTTTTATCTTTTTGTTTGTTTTTGCATTTTTTCTCCTAAAGAGGTAATACCTTTCTCCTTGCTCAGTGATTTGTGCTTTTCCCTGTAAATTTGTCTGTGAGAGCTCTCCATATTAGTCCTCTCATTTCCAATTGCCCTTATCTTTCTAACACCTGGAGAAATTTCCACAGAGGGCCCGGAGCCAAAGCTTTGGTGTGGCCTGGCATAAGGTTTCTTTATATTTATTTGCTGATAATGATAAGTTTTTGCCAATTTCTATTGAGTTATTATTTTTTCATTGGTCTATAGAAGGAGTCATTTTAGACACAAGTGATTTTGGGAAACAGTGCATTCGAAGTGATCAATTGGCATTACCTGTCTGAGAGCAGAAGTCCAGGCTCTGAAGAGATGCCTCAGTGTCTGGGCCAGTGGCCCCACATCATGTCTTTATTCAGTGCACAGACTGGGAAGCCGAGAGCTGTGGACATCAGAAAGCTGCTACTTTCTGCGTGTGGCTATTCCCCATGATTGTTCTACTTATTCTGTTCATTCTTTCCTACTTATTCAAGTACACTACCTGTGTTTCTTCACAGAAACTTGCAAGGAAACTCTATTTCGTACATCAATAAAGATACATGGAAGTCATACCATTCGGTTAAGAAACTGTGAGTATATTCTCTCCAAAAATGAATACAAAAGATAACTAACTGCACTGTAAGACCCTTCTTGGTCCAGAATTTTGAGATCAGTAGCTCTGAGAAATGGTGTTTCCCCTTCCATATCCCAAATCAGCCTCTGTTGATTGCAATTCTGTGTTTATTTAAAAATTTAATTTGGGCCCTAGACGGTTTGGCTCAGTGATTAGAGCATCTGCCTGTGTACTGAAGGGTCGAGGGTTCACTTCCAGCCAAGGGTACGTACCTAGGTTGCAGGCTCCATTCATGCGGGAGGCAACCAATCAATGTCTGTCTGTCTGTCTGTCTCCCTCTCTCTCTCTCTCTCTCTGAAAAGCAATGGGGAAAAGTGTATCCTCTGGTGAGGATTTAAAAAAATAAAATGAAATAACAGGTACACTGAAAACCCTGCTTGTGCCCTCATCCCCCTCCCTTTAGGTAACTGCTACTTTAAGTTTACTATATATCCTTCCAGACCTTTTCCCAAGCATTTGCCTGCATACATATTTATAGATAGCAAAATAAGTGTGTTGTGTGATTTTCATTCTTTTTTTTTTTTTTACATAAATGGTAACATTTTACAACTTGGTGCTTTCACCTCATGATATATCTTAAATTTGTTTCCCTCTTGGTACATAGAGGATTACCCAATTCCTTCAAACTCCTGCATAATATTCCATAGTTTAATAATCCTCCTCTTGATGGATGTTTAGATTATGTCCAGTGTTTTTGTTACATGTATTGCTGCAATGAACATTCTTGTACATGTATTTTGTGACCATGGGCAGGTATTTCTGCAGAATAGATCTTTAGAAATGAAATTGTTGGGGTGAAGACTATGTTGATATAACATATTAATTGCCCTCAAAGAAGTTGTGCCAACTTACACTCCAGTCTATGGAGTGTTTCCCTCTCCCCTTCCACCACTGGACAGTCTCTCCATTGTTTTGCTGATCTAGTGGGTGAATAAAAGAGGTCCCATCTGAATTTGAATTTTTCTGATTACTTGTGAACTTAAATATCTTTATATATTTATTGAACATTTCTATTTCTTCTCTGAACTTGCCCTGTCCTTTTTGCCCATTTTTCTTTTTTTTATTGATTTGTAGAAAAGTCTGTTTAGATACATAAGTGATTTACGGAAAAAATATTTACATTCAAAGTCCTCGGCACTTTTCATGACAGTTTGTGTGTCATATTATTGGTTCAACCTGAGAAGATGTCATAAATTACTTATGAATTAATAATAAAAGATATAATAATCATAGTGACCTAAAAATAGGGTTTATGACCACCTCAAAAGATAACGCCCTTAGTCTGATATCTTATTGGCAAAGAAAAAAATGCTAGAACCAGTTGTTAAGTGTGTTTTTTAATTTATGAATTTCTTTGAAACTAAATATAGTTTATATTTCCCATAATAGTACTGACTTGGAGACTTTATTTCCCAAACTTGTAAGAAAAATGAAAGTCATTTCACACAAGAAATAAATAACATTAGTTTCCTTTAAGGAGTAGAGGGAGTGGTGTAATCTGAAAGACGGTGAAGGAGAAAAAACTTTGGATTGTGTGCTATATACCTTTGGAATTTTGAGCCATGGGAATATACATTACATATATTTTTTTAAATTGAAATTTACACATTAATTTTTAAAAAGCTTGTCTTTGGGAATTTATACCCAATAACATAAATCTGGTAAGGATTGGATTTCTAAGTCAGCTTGAGATTTATACCTTATAAGGGAGAAGTTCCTAACATGGGGCGATGAACCCCCAGGGCAGGATTTCTTAACCTGTTCTTTTTTTTCCATATGTCTCTTTGGTGATCTGCAGAAGCCTATGTTCTTGGGAACTATGTTTTTAAATGATTTATAAGTTAAAATATATAGGAAAATAAAGGAAACTTATTATTGAAATACAGTTTTCACAATATTTTTTAAAAAGATTATTGATATAGTAATAAATCTGCTTTTCTTAACATATTAAGTAACAAGCTATAGTAATAGGTCTAATAACTTATAATTTCAAGGTAGTGATGAGAATGAATAAATGATATTTTGAGATATCTGCAACAAATATGTAGTATGAAAATAGCTGTGATTTCTACTGGACACCCAATTAACCACTACACTGCTAAGCTATGGTTTGCTGGCTACATTCATTATGCAAGGCAATGCTAATTTTAGTCAGAGGTTTGTGAGAATAGAGATGTAATTTTATTTCCCATTCAGGTTTGGCCTCCTGAATTCAATCCATTCAGTCCTATTCACTGACCTCTGCCCTAAAGGGTAATCCACAAATGGAAATTACATGCACACTTTTGCACATATTCAAGAAAATGCAGTTTTCTACAGAAAAGGTCCACAGCTTTTACGAAATTCTCTCAGGGCTCTTGTCTTAAAAGATTAAGAGTCGCAAATGTAGGGGAGAAGAAAGACATTTCTTTTCCTGTAAAGCTGTACTTACCCTCATGAGTGATAGTAAATGGGTGATTTGTTTTAAATCAAAGTAGTATATCTGAATATTGATACCTGTCACTTTCTGAATTCATTGAACAAATATTTATGGAGCATCTGCCAGGAACTGTTTTACATGCCAGGGTTATAGGTCCAAGGACAAAATAAACAAAATACATCAGTCCTCAAGGGGTTTAGAAGTATATAATATAAAAGTGAATATGTAAATATAATAGCTAAAATTTCAAGTATTGATTAGTTCTTTGGAAATGAAATCTGGGAAAGGAAAATGAATCAATTCTAGAATGGCCTATTGTTTGCATTTTATGTATAGTTAAGTCCTCAGAAAAAACCCCACCCCTAAGCCCTCTCAGTTTTCTAGAAGTTACAGAGGTGGGGCTGAGGATAACCGTCAATAATGTAAGCTCAAGAATGAATATCGTGAAATTCAGAGGCCTGCCTTCATGAAAGGAAGTCTGATGAGAAGTCAAACGTGGAACTCCCTCAAATGTTAGTTCATGCCTGGATTTGATATTTTCACGGTGTGAGAAAATTCTAGATCTGGCTTAAACTCTGATTCCCTATAGTTTAAAAAAAATTTTTTGGTCAAAATGAATATTTGAAGTTCTACAGATCAGTGTATTTTACACCAGTTAGTTGCTTATTTAAAGCTCCCTTTTGGGGGTAATTTTTTGGTGACTGACTCATTCTCAGTCTAAACTTTCTTTCCACGTTTAATTTGTTATTGTTATTTAAAATTTTTTACTATCCTGTCATCCAAACTACTTCACAAAAAGAAACTCCATTAATTTAAAATACATACTTACCCTTTGCTACTCTTCATCTTATCGTGATATTTAAACTCTTTCACCAAACAGTCTGATATGGGCGTCAGCCAGTTAGAGAAGGCTGTTATAAACAGCTGAGGATTAGCCCTCATTTCTTCTCTGTCCTTATTGATGCTTGTGAGGTTTATATTTTTTAAAGTTATAATTGGCATATACAATTTTGATTTTTGTCTTCATTTTTTTTCATATACCATTATTTCCTATGACCTTTTTGTATATCATCTATATTATACACATACAGTTTTGTTAAGTGATATGGGGAGGTACAGTTTTTTCCAACTTTTTATACTTACAAAAAGGGTTACTATAAACATCACTGGACATATTGATTTGGTTTTTTCTTTTTGGATAATTTCCATGGAAATATGAAACTGTTACCTAAGGGAGGTGAGTCAATCATAGCCTCTCTTCTGGCCATTGCCCCTTCATACATATTCTGCCATCACTGCTGTTTTTCTAATGTGGTGAATTTCAAATTGACATCAGAGGCTTTGATGCATTTTTAGGACTCCAAGAGTTCGTTGTAGGAATTAAAGTTTTTGTGTTTTTATTTTAATGGTCTTTTAAAAATGTAACTATATTCTGTGTCATATGAAGTACTTACCTTATAACTGAGAACTGTCTTGATTTCAGTTATAGAGTTTCTGTGCTACTGCCAGAAACTCTACAACTTATTTTGCCATAAGCTATGAGTAAAGAATTAAGCTTTGAGGTAGAACGATGCTATGAGATGGAATTAATAGAAATATGTGGCCAACAGACATCACGAGGGAAAGCAGATTGTCTGAAATGCTGAACTTGGTGGAAATAGTTTCACAAGTCAACACAGCATGTTCTCAAATCCCCAAGGCTCCTGAAGAATGTTCAACTTAATGTTACTTGCAAGGATGGGGATTCTCCTAGGAAGAGACACTTACCTTTGACATTTTACAGAGTTTCTTCTGTACTGGCTCTCTACCAGTCCCCCAATCCACTCCTGGAGACACTGGCTATGTGCCTTTCTGCTCATCAACTATAAGAAATGAGTGCAAACTCCCCCCATCCCTACCCCAAGCATGTTCCTAGTCGTTACGGTGAGACTGGGTAAAGCAAAGGCCTTCACATTCTTTGGGCAGACCAGGTGCCAGGCTTGTCTGTGGATCATTCCTGTTCCCCTCCTTTCTCATTACGGAGAACTCATAGGCTGGGTCTCTCAGTTTTCTAATTTATTCAACTGTCATTTCTGCTGCTCATATACTGAGGGGTTTTTTTTGTTTTTTTTTTATGGACGATAACACTTCATTTGTATAATTTTGAGTTGATTCTTTTCGGTGGATGTACTGTCTGCTTACATTTGTCCGAAGATATTAATTATGCTATTCTGAAGTATTCTTGTGCTTTCTCTGTGAACTCTGATTCATGGGCTATAAGCTCTTATGTTGGTTTTTCTCTCCTTAATGGAGCTGGCTTCTCAAGTTGCTTGGTCATTCCTGACTGCAATTCATCTTTGTCATTGATATCCTACTGCTTCTGTTTGCTGGCTCCACGGGAGAGGTGGAATGAACTGCTGGGGCCTGTTTTCGGATGGATTCCCCTGACAATAAGGAAGAGTGGAGAATCCTCCTGGTGGCTAGTCAGGGAGTGCATACCTTTCTCCGGGGTTCTGGGACCCTGCCCCATTTCTAACACCAGTTGCTCCTACCTAGAGGAAGACACCCTTGCTGACTAGTCCAAGGAGGGAAGGCGAGGGGTTGATGTGCTGCCAGCTGCCCCTACTGCAACATCCCAACTACTCACCTGCAGGTGCTCCAGGGCATTTCTGGTAGGGGAGCATTTGTGGAGCTGCTCCCATGCTTTGAGCTAAGTTTGTGATTTTTAAATGATATCTTTTCCATTATTCTTAGGGATTTTGGTGGAGGTTGGAGGGGTAGAGACTTGACATGTTTCAATCTGCCAACTTGAAATAGCATAACATCTTAGGAAAACAATTTTGCACCCCTGTTATATCATGGAGAAACTCAGGCAAATGGGTATCAGGATACAAGTACAAGAATGTTCAAAGCAACATTGTAATAACTAAAAACTAGAAAAACCTTAGTGCCCACCAATGGTAGAATGACTAAATAATGTGTTGTATAGTCATATAATGTTATACTATTCATTAGATACATTATCAAGCCACATGAGTAATCTTAAATTTTCTGGTAGCCACTTAAAAATAAAAGTAAAAAGAAACACTGAAATAATTGTTAGCATATTTTATTTAACTCTTATATCCAAAATATTATCATTTCAGCATATAATAGATTATTAATAAGATATTCTGCATTCTTTCACAGTCTTCAAAATATCCAAAGTATTATCATTTCTACATGTAATCAATAGAAAAATGGTCAATGAGAGAGTTTGCATTCTTTTTCCCATATTAAGTCTTTGAAATCTCAGTTGGGTTGCTATATCTTTTATCAGAGAGACTTGATCTATATTTAGACTTTATAAATTGAAAAAGGAGCATCACATACCAATGTTGTTGCTAACATCCTTGAATGGGAGTCAGAAAAAGGGCTGTGATTAGAAAGGGGCACCCTGGGGGCTTCCAGGATGCCAGCATCGTTCTTTCTTGACATGAATGGTGTTATATGGGTATTTGTACTTACCTTGTGTGCGTTTTATGCATATTTAGTTCTCAAAAGAATTTTTTTAATGGGGGAAATAATCAAAAGACTTCATTTGCAGCCCTGATACAGTTCTGTATGGGGCTTCCATAACAAGTTTTGGGAAAAGAGAGGAGGAAATGGTAATTCAGCCAATGTTGGTACCACTCAGAGTTGGATTCTAACAGGGACTTTGTGATCTAGAGAGTAGGCATTAACTATGTGATTTGGTGGGAAGAGTGGACAGGAGTGTGTGTGTGTGTGTGTGTGTGTGTGTGTGTGTGTGTGTGTGATGGAGAGAGATGGATACACAGGAGGATGTGAGAAGAAAGGTTTGAATAAAGAGCAGAGATCACCATCCTTAAATTAAATAAAAATTAGGGTATTCTGATGCACCATTACCCAAGTTTCCCCACATATATTTCTGTGCAGTAAATAGTTGTAGTTAGTTTACATTTTGATCCAGAAATAACCTTTCAATTTTTCAGAAATCTCAGTGGAAATAATTTGCGAGAATTACATAAGGATTCATTTGAAGGCCTGTTGTCCCTCCAGTATTTGTAAGTTAATTATATTTATGAGTTTTTAGTTATATTATCTATAATATAATAAGAGGTTCAACTCAGATAATCTCTACAATTTCTCCCAGAAATAAAATTCTACAATTCTGTAAGTTTGTGTAGGGCTTCAGCCCATGTCAGCATTTAATATCTCCTGTGCATTTTCATTTTTTTTAATCATGTAGATAGGAAAAACTCTTCAGTTTAGGAGAAAAGTGGTAATGAGCCTGAGTAATTATACACACCCATATGAACCTTGTTATATAAGTGTTCATATACCATCTGTTTATATTTATATTTAGTTTAGAGCCCATGGATCAAATTGGGCCTATGGTGGGTTATTTTTACAACCCATAAGTTAAGACTGATTTTTACACTTTTAAAGGGCAGTAAAAGAAAAAAAACAAAGAAGAATATGAAGACAGACTATCTGTGGCCTGCAAAGCCTAAAATATTTACCGTCTGGTCTTTACAGAAAAGGTTTTAAAATGTTGATTTAGTAAAATGAGAAGAATTCAGGTTAACCTTAAATTGTCTCCTATAGGACAAGAAAATATAAAACACTTGCATTAATTTGAATGCCATTAACCCAGAATTATTTGATAATTTAATCTAAATTAGATTAACATTTACACATTAAATGTTTAAGCAGATGAATTATGTAAATAGTATTATTAAGAACATATTAAGTTACCAAGAGAGCAGACTGGTGTTAAGGATTTCAATGCAGGAACTGTTATGCCAATATTAAAAATAAATGTTTAAAATGATGGCTAAGTGGTATGGTCAGAAATGTCTACACTAAGTAAACATATCAGTAATGCCTTTAACTTCACTAATTACAAAATAAAAATCCCCCCAGCCTCCTTGTCAAGGAAGAAATGCTTGCCTAGTAATTCTATTTATTTAGAGATACGGAGATATTCTTTGCTGTAAAAACTCAGTTATGATCCTTTGTCCATGGCATCCAGAGCTGTGTATGTCATTAATCCTTATCAAGCTAATTAATGATGCTCTTTGGCATATAGATTCTTTTTGCAAATGTAGAAGGCTTAAGGGAAGTGGATATAAAGAGCCTCACATGACACTAAAAATAGTCCTTTGGATTATCAAACCTTCCATGCCTCAGGGGACAACCACTTTTGTATTGGTCTTCTTGGGTATCTCTGCCATCTAGGTTCCAAACCTTACAGACAGTTTGGGGGAAAACAAATGAGGAAACTAACTGCTCAATAGATTAGGTCATTCATTACTCCTACTGTGAAATACTTAGTAAGCTAATTAGTTCATGCTAGCATGTGTTCCCATTCATTAAGAAATGCCAATCAATAAACAAGCTAGTAAAGAATCTGCCAAGGACTGTACCCAGTATTACAGGCACAAAGATGGGTAAGACAGGGTTCCTACCCTTCTAGTAACTCATGATCTCACAGAGAAAATAAACAGATAAGCTCAGACCATAGTGCACAAGTACTAAATGGAAGACAGCGTGCTGCAGAGGGAGCCATGAAATACTAAAACTACACTGCTTTTGAAATAGTCATTTTTCTCCCTCTCCTTCCCAGCTATTTGTTAATTTTATAAATATTAGTTTGCATATATTCACGTGTCTGTTTTAAACATGGTAGACAATTCAGATGAGCAAGACCCAGTCCATACTTTCAAGGAGTTTATGCTCAGAGGAAATAGGAGGCAAAAATAACTATTAAAAAGAAGAAACAGATAACGGGCAATGAGAAGTATAAACTGGTTTTGGTCACAGCAGAGGGAAAAGAGATTTCAAATTGGATCAGTGAAGATGTTACTAGAGCAATACTGTTTGTATAAGACCTTGCTGGGTCCTTGGGGATCATCAGACGGACGTCTTGGGTAGAATAAGCTTGCCAAAGGAGTGCGGGGAAAGGTAAAACACAGGAAAAATACCTTGAGTACTTGTAGAGTACAAGCAGGGAGAGTAGGAGATTAGAGCCAGATCTTCTAGGGTTTTGAAGGCCAAGCCAAGGATAACATGCCAAGCTACCATGTTATCACCCCAGTGCTCTAGAACAAACTTTAGCCTGCAACAGAATCACTCGGAGGGCTTGTTAATATTCAAGCTGCACCCCCACAGTTACTAATTCAGTCAGTACAGACTAGGTCTGAGGAGTTGCATCATCAGTAAGCTCCCAAGTGATGCAGGCTGGTATTTGAGAACCACTTCTAGAGTGTTAATCTGGTGGCTGTGTGCGGGATGGATGAGAAAGGGGGAGGCTAGAGATGGAAACACCAGTCAGAAGAACAGTTCTACCTCTCCAGTGAAAAGGGAGGGACCGAGCCGGAATCAATGGAAATAAGACGGTCAACTGCAAGAGTGGACATTTTCAAGTAAAAATCCAGTACCATGTTGTTTTTTGTTGTCCCACCACTGTACAACTGCAACAATTAAATTCATGGATTATTAAAGCAGTGTAAAATAAAAAAATTAATTTCTATTAATATTATAGAAAGTATCATTCTGAATTAGTTCAAAGTTCTGTATTAATTAGAGGAGTAACTTCCTTTCAAGTTCTGTGAAAAGGCATCTTTAATTTTTCTTTTATTACATCTTTTTTGGCCTAGAAAAAAAAAAACTAAACCAGAAAGGTGTATAGATGTGCAGCTATTTCTTTTAATATTAGAAATTTATAATTATATATGAAGATTGAGCTCATAATCTAAATTTGATGAGACCACAAAAGGTCACCTAATCAATTCTTCTGCTCTCTGGAAAGATTACCTTCAAAATCTATCAACATTTATGGTTGTATATTTTATTTACAAAGATCATGAAGGTGAGACTCTTAACGAAGTGAGTGAGGGCAGGGTCAGGGCCTCTGGAAGGTTCAAATCACAATTCCTAAGATTTAGCGTTTAGACTAAAGGAACATCTTCAATATTGTCATTCTTACCTCTACCAGTTATTCCTACTAATTGGATATCTAACAGCTAATTGAGGCAATATTTTTCTTTTACTTTTTCTAGAGATTTATCCTGCAATAAAATACATTTTATTGAAAGGGATACATTTTCATCACTACCTTCGTTGCAGTATATGTAAGTTATAAATATAACTTCATCATGTTTAGAATTTTTATAAAACTTAATTGTAAACCTCTTTGTTATTCACTGTTCTGTATCTACTGCACCACATGTATAAACATGGAAGCATATATCATAAGCAAATATCTTCCACAGTGAGATTTGTTTAGTGTGTGGAGGGAGTATTTGGATTGTTTTACATATATAAATTAGAATCGCTGACAAAAGATAAATGATCTGAAATAATATTTTTTTGTCTTCTTTTGCTTGTGTCTTTTTGTGGAAATCTTGGTTGCAATTTAATCACAGAAGTGAGCTTTGGAATGTTTTGGGCCTGGCATGGAATGCAATTTTTACACAAGTTGTAAGTGAAATAGAAGATAAATACATGTAAAAAGCTATGTATAAAAACATCATGCAGTGATTGGTTAGCTGGGTGTAAGTCCTGTTTGAATTCTGAAAAGTATGGCTTAAGAACCATTCTTTTTTTTTTTTTTCCTTTCCAAATAAGGAAACTAAGGTACAAAGAGGCCAAGAGACTTGTCTAACTCATATAGGGCATGCTCTTTTTTCCCTGTACTGATCTTTGGCAGGAGCAAGAGAAGGCACCAAGCACGTAACACTCAAAGTAGCATTGTCATGGGAATCCCAGTGGTGCCGCTGCTCCAATATAAGAATGGTCTTTGAAATTCCACTTCTGAATTTAACTCTGAGTCCTGTTCCTGCGCCAAGTTCCTAACTGCTTAAGTATATGCAACATAGAACTGAAAGAATTAAGTTTAGCTCAGAATTCTCCAGGGAGAAAAGGGTGTGGGTGCTTCCTCAGTCATGAGTCTCTTTTAAATGGTAAAGCAGAAGGAGTTCCTAAAAACCCACCACAGGGCACTGCTCTCTCCAATCACCCAGAACATCATTTTTCAGAAAGTATATGCCTCTGCAGTGAATTATCTGTGGCAGTGGGAATCTTTGGAGTGTGACTGAATAGATGTTTATGTTAAGGCGTGGTGTGAAAAAATATTCATAAAGAAAATATATAGCTGTAACCTCATTCCAATTTCTCTCCTGACTACTGCTCAGTAAGAAGTGTGGGTTTCATCCCCTTTCAGCTAGAAAATTCTGTGATTTCTCTGTTACACAAGCAAATCATAGTGGGTATGTTCAGTGGCTTGAAAAGGATTTGAGATCAAGGTGAAGATCGTCCTCTAAACCTGTCTTTGGAAAAGACTGTCTTTGTGACTTGTGGTTCAGAAATCCAGTTTCACACAGTTCATTTCAGATGAGATGGGGGTGTTTAGGAGGTGTCTGGAGCTGGATTCACAGTTCCTGCAGATGCCCATCTGCAGCCTCCCCTCTTCCCTCATTAATCTGCTGATGCCTCACTTGGGGAAAGCACATTGAGGGTCAGTTTTCCTCTGGCCAGCACGTCAGAGAGCAGGCTCATTAGGTCCCTCCACCAAGAGGTTTTGGTTGAGTCAATACAATGTTGTAATCTCACCACCTTTACTAAGCATTGTGTAACACTGAGAGTCCCTTGTAAGAATCTGAGTTTCAATGTAGTCATGAAGAAAATATGGGAAAAAAACCTGTGGAATCACCATTGATAAAAATTAATGAATTTATTCAAAAACATTTATTGGGTGTCGTGCCCACTGTGTGTCAGCATTATACTACGTGCTGGGGGCACAAAGAAGAATTACATGGGGACTTTATCTCCAAGAGACTTTTATACTGGAAGGAGGAAGATGGGTGTGGATGGGAAAACAGAGAGAGCCATGCCAGCATCTCTCCAGCAGGGTAACAAGATAGGAGGGAGGCAAAGTAGGGAATGGGTGGTGAGTTAGAAAAGATTATAACAGAGAAGGTGCCCACTTGTTTATCTTGAGTTTCTCGGTTCATCTTAAAGGACAGAAAAAGGTAATGAAAGAATCATAGCTAGCTTGTGTTAGAAATAAATTAATATTCCTAGCATGTGATTTGAATAGAGCTGTACTTCTAAAACTAATTCACAGTTACTTTGAAATGATTGTCACAAAGAGGGCTGGGCTCCTTTGTTTTGGGCCAAATCTTTCTGACAGACAAACTAATTTGCTTCAGGAAATATTTGCCACAGTGAGATAGGAACTTCATTGCATCTCTCTCCAAAGGCAATTTTCCAAGGGAAGATGCCACCCCTCAAGTTAAGTCATTTGATTATCTGTATGATATTACTATGACTTTTAGAAGTTGAAACAATATTTTCCCCTGCATTAAATAAGTTTGTAGTAAGTGTGAGGTGGATTTATCATGAATTGAATGAAGTTTAACCTTCAGGACTCTTCACTTGCATAGGCCCCTTCCAAGGTCTTGGGAGGGCCTAGCAGTTTTCAGATTCATAATTTTGCATGTTTTTATTTGGATTTCCCAAAACAGATGAGGTTCAGGCTCCACAAAACGTTGATTCACTCCTGGGTTTCAGGTGATTATAGTTTAGTAAGTTTCTTGAATGAAGTCTCTATGTTATTGATAAGTACTGAGTGAGCAGGTTAGCAGTGCGGTAAAGAGTCTATTTTGAATCTGAAATCCACCTCAAAGACATGCCAAGAGCATATTAATAAACTAATACTTTTTGAATGGTAGTTATAATCACATTTCTTTCAGATAAAATCAGCAATGAAATATATTATGGAAAACCAGTAACATTTGATAATCCTAAATGTTAAGTATACTTTTTTTCCTGACTTTAAAGGGCTTCTCTTTTATTCACCTACACAGGTCCAAACTAATGGCTTATTTTATTTTAATTTTTTAAAATATGTTTTTATTGATTCTAGAGAGGGAGGAAGGGAGAGGGAGAGAGAAAGAAAAACATCAGTGTGAGAGCTGAACATTGATCGGCTTCCTCCTACATGCCTGCTACTGGGTGTCGAGCCTGCAACCTGGGCATGTGCCCTGACCAGGAATTGAACCAGCAAGCTATTGGTGCACAGGACAAATCCCAACCAACTGAGCCACACTGGCCAGGGCTATGTTTAACTTTTTTGAGGAACTGCCAAACTGTTTTTCACAGTGGCTTCACTATTTTGCATTCCCACCAACAATGTATTAGGATTCCAATTTCTCCATATCCTTGTCAGCATTTGTTACTGTCTGTTTGATTATAGCCATCTTAGTGAATTTAAAGCAGTATCTCATGGTGGCTTTGATTTGTATTTCCCTAATGACTTAGGACATTGAGCATCTTTTCATGTGCTTGTACATCTTCTTTGGAGAAATGTCTCTTTAAATCTTTTGCCCATTTTAAAATTTGGTTATTTATCTTTTTATTGAGTTGTAAGCGATCTTCATATATTCTGGATAATCTGGATGTAGGCCTTTATCAAATATATAATTTGCAAATATTTTCTCCCATTATATGAGTTGTCTTCTCATTTTCTTAATAGTATCCTTTGAGTCAAAAAAGTTTTTGATTTTTATAAAGTCCAATTTATCTATTTTTCCTTTGGTTGTTTGTGTTTTTAGTATTATATCTAAGAAATTGTTGGCCTAATAAGGGGTCATAGAGATTTACTCCTTGTTTCCTTCTAAAGGTTTTATAGCTTTGGCTCTTAACATTTAAGCATTTGATTCATTTTTAGTTTTTATATATGGTGTGAAGTAGGCAGATTCCAACTTCATTATTTGGCATGTGGATATACAGTTGTCCCAGCACCATTTGAAAAGGCCATTCTTTCCACATTGCATTGCTTTGGCGCCCTTGATGAAAATCAATAGACAATACATGTGCGGGTTTATTTCTGGACTGTCAATTTTGTTCCATTGATTTATATGTCTAACCTTATGCCAGTACCACACTGTGATTGCTTAGGGGGTAGTTTTTTCTTGGGGGGTAGGGGTTAGTAAGCAGAGTCTTTATTTTTTTTAAATTACTTAAGAAAGGTTGTTTAGTGAGTTTAACTAACTTGGCAACAACATTTTAAAATGTACAGTCTATTTCATATTATTGCACTTACTCTTTAATAATATAAGGCATTATTATATTATTATATTATTATATTATTATATTATACCAGGTGTGGTACCAAAACACAAAATTATGTGTGGTGTTAATTCACATAAAATTAAATAAGATGTGTATAGAAGAATAGAAATGAAACCCAACCTACTTCAACCTTCATGGTCTATCCTTGCAACTATGATTTACATGGGATAACACATATTTACCCTCATAGTTTATTGTGTGAATGCCTGACCAGTTAAAAAACCAAAACAATGAAGGTTCTAAAAGGGCAATACTATCAGTGTTTTCTTCAGGAAGTGTGGGAATTTATTAGACCAATTAGAAATACTAGTCATGCCTTCAACACTAAAGACAAATAAATAGGTCTCTAAGGGTAAAAAACAGTTTAGCTTTGCTTTCTCCCGTATGTTCCACCTGTCAGCCAGGGAACCTTTCTGGCAAGATCTACTAGAAATGGCTGATGACTTTACTACAGCTCAGTGACTCAGAGGTATACCCTTGCTCTCTTCAGATACAAAGGAGGATCAGGATCTTGGAAGGAGACCATCCCTTTGCTCTGCATTGCTCAAGAAATTCCCGTCTGTTCACAGCTGTAGGCATAGCTGGAATAGTAGAGGCAAAAAATAGTTTTCAGTTTTGACTTCAAATAGTCTTGTGTCAAGAAAACAGAAACCACAAAACTGACCCCAAAATTGGGTTTTGAAACTAAGACGTGGGAGTCCTCCCACGTTGTTCCTCTTTTATCAAGATTGTTTTGGCTGTTCTGGGTCCCTTGAATTGCCATATGATTTTAGAATTAGCTTGTCAATTTCTGGAAAGAAGTCAGTTGGGATTTTGATAGGAATTGCATTGAAACCATAGATCATCTGGGAGAGCAGGGCCATTTTAACAGTATTATCTTCTGATCCATAAACACAGCATGTCTTTCCATTTATTTCGATCTTTCATTTCTTTGAACAATGCTTTATAATTTTCAGTATATGAGTCATGCACTTCCTTGATTAAAATTTTTCCTAAGTATTTCATTATTTTTGATGCTGTTAAGCATGGAATTGTTTTCTTCATTTTATTTTTGAATTACTCATTGCTTGTGTATGGAAATACAGCTAATTTTTGCATAGTGGTCTTGTATCCTGCAACCTTGCTGAACTCATTTATTAGAGCTATTGTTTTTTTCTTGATTCTCAGGAATATGTCTCATGGTCTTCCAGTTTTCCAGACATATGTTGGAGAACTTCAGTCTCTATTGCCATCTCATTTCTCAGTTTTTACTTTAAGTTTTTTGGTTAGGCTATTTTTTGTGCTGTTATCTGTTGCCTTGGGCGCTTCCATGTTAAAACATTTTCCTGTAATTGTTTTTAAAAAATTCCCCCTGAGGAGAGAGGCTTTTGGCACTAGGCAGTTCTCAGTCAGGTCAAAGACAAACCTTTCAAGTGAGGTCTTCCAGGGAACCACCAGACAAGTAAAATGACAGTTCTTTGGGAATGAGATTTTGTTTCAGTTTGCTCCCTGCTATGGCCTATTTGTCAAGGTTACCCCTGAGATAGAGAGCAAAGGTCTAGGATGAGTTAAAGCAACACAGATCACTGTTCTTACAGAAATCAGTCATTTTTCTTGAATAAATGTTCCCTGAATTCCTGTTGGTTGAATTTCCAGTGTTTGGAAAAAGTGATTCTGACAATTTTTGCCAGTTGTTTTTTGTTGCTTTTTTAGGGATGAATTTTTCAGATGCCTTACTCTACTGTTTTTACTGATTTATCTACAACATGGTTTTAAATCTCTAAAGTCGCAATGACTACAAGCTAGTTAAATATTTAATCATGGGAGATGATTAGGGAACAAAGAATAAAAAGAGAAAATGTAATTCTCATAGAGGCTGTCCTAAATGGGTACATGAAATTTGAAAAGGTATTTCTGTGCGCAGTGGTCTCAAAATTAAGTTTGAAGTTAACAGCTATTTTAAACCCCTTATCTTCATACAAGCTAAATACAGGCTTTGGAGTCAGAACTGAGTTCAAATTCCAGTTCTGCTTCTTACTAGTTTGATTACCTAAGATAAGTTATATAACCTCTCTCGGCCTCAGTTTCCTCATTTGTAATATGGGGCATTAATATTTATCAATAAGGTTCTCATGAGGATTAAATCTGAAAAGCTCATTACATATGCCTGGCAGCCTAATTGATATTAGCTGTGATAATTATTTATCTATAATATCCTGTAAAAGTACACTAATGATTCTTGATTTTTTTTGTTTTTTTTTAATCCTCACCTGAGGATATTTTTTCCATTGCTTTTCAGAGAGAGAGGAAGGGAGAGAGAGAAACATCGATGTGGGAGAGATACATCGATTGATTGCCTCCCGCACCGCATGGGGGATGGAGCCTGCAACTGAGGTACGTGCCCTTGGCCGAATCAAACCCGAGACCCTTCAGTCTGCAGGCTGACAGGCTAGCCACTGAGCCAAGCCCTCCTCTCCCTCCTCTCCCTTCC